TAGGGCCAAGGAAAATGTACAAAAGGACAGCTAAGATGATCTGATCCTATGGAACACTCTTAACTGGGGAGGGATTAATATATTCCAAGCTACAATCTCTAGTAAACTGTTAGGAAAACTAGGCTAACAAATATGCAATGGCAAACAGTTTAAGATGGGGCTTAATTCTGGTATTGATTCGGAATGCTGTAGGAGGCCTATAAATGAAATTACTAATAAGAGCCACAGAGTAGGAAAGGTCGACCTTAAGTTGATGCTTGAAAACCAGGTAAGGGGCCCACGCTGTGGGCAGTAGGTTAATCCTCCACCTGTGACGCCAGCACCCCATATGGGCGCCGGTTCTAGTCGTGGCTGCTCCACTTCCAATCTAGTTCTCTGCTGTGGCCTGGGGAAGCAGAAGATGGCCCAAGTCCTTGGGCCCCTGCACCCACGTGGGAGACCTGGAGGAAGCTCCTGGCTTTGGATCCGCTCAGCTCCAGCTGTCACAGCCAACTAGGGAGTGAACCAGTGGATGGAAGCCCTTTCTCTCTCTCTCTCTCTCTCTCCTTCTCACTGTCTGTAACTCTACCTCTCAAATAAATAAATAAAATCTTAAAAAAAAAAAAAGGTAAGGTTTGAGTAGGTGGAGAGAAGAAAGGACTTCAGAGAAGTGAGGGAAAGGAACAGCCATGAACATGCACTCACGTTATGTTTTAACACAGTCACGTGAGGATGAGTTTAACAACGCCTTTCCACCGACCACTCTGTAGAGAAATCTAATTACTCTCAACAAAAAGGAGTTTTAGAAAGACAGAGGTAAAGAAGCAAAGGGGAGGGGACATCATTTGGCACAGCAGTCAAGGCACCACTTGGGATGGCCATGTCACAGTACTGGATCCTGTTTCCAGTTACAGCTTCCTGCCAATGCACACCCCGGGAGGAGCAGGTGATGGCCCCAGGACTTTGGTTCCTGCCACCTACATGGGAGACCCAAAGTGAATTCTGAGCTCCTGGCTTCAACCAGCCCCAGCCCAGGCTGTTGTAGACGTTTGGGAAATAAACTCAAACGTGGATGGAAAAATCTTTGTCTCTCTGCCTTTCAAGTAGTTAAATAATTAAAAAACAAACAAACAAACAAACAAACAAAAGCAAAGGGCAGGAAGCTGGGCCACTTACTTTGAGATGGAGGTCAGCAAACAGGAGCCAAGGAAGTCCTTCCAGCTGTGCAACATCTTGATGCCCGCGTTGGGGCCTAGCTGCTCCTCAGACTCTGCCTGCCACGCTTCCCCTTGGCCTACTTCCGCGCTTTACTGCGTAACACCAACCGGGACTGCGCTCCCGTCTTCACCTCTTCCTCCCAGACAAGCGGACAGACCTCGGCCCTTCGATCCTGCAGTCCAGTGGTCCCTGCCCCGGGCCACACACTGGAGTCACCGGAGGAGCCTGCCACCATCGCACCTGCACAAAGCCAGCAGGGGGCTATGAGCTCCCCCAGGAGATGCTAATATGCAGCCAAGGTTGAGAACCATTGGTTTCCTGCCAGAGCGAACTCACACCAGTCCCCCCCTACAGCCTGTCTCAGATGGAACAATTTGAGGCAAAATGTAAGGAATTTTAATTAGCGTGATAATGGCAGAACTGAAATTAGATTCCAAGTTTCCTGACTCCCATATGCACCATTTGCCTCATGGCCAAGATGCTTACATTTAAAGTTTCCCTATCAATTTGATAACCAAAGCATGACCGGGAAAAGGGAGAAGGCTCAGAGCTACCTGGGAGTCCACCTTTGCCAGGGCCCTTCTTACTGCAGGCACCTCCCATCCGCTTTGTCCACCGTGGTTTCCAAGGTCCTCGCTCAGTGGCAGGAAGTAAGTAAACCTTTGCATGGATTCAACTCCATCTACTCCATTTTCTGGCTATCAGTTCCCAACAACAGGGAAAGAAGCTTAGATTGGTGCCGCGGCTCACTAGGCTAATCCTCCACCTGCAGCTCCGGCACCCCGGGTTCTAGTCCCGGTCGGGGTGCCGGATTCTGTTCCGGTTGCTCCTCTTCCAGTCCATCTCTGTGCTGTGGCCCAGGAAGGCAGTGGAGGATGGCCCAAGTGCTTGGACCCCTGCACCCACATGGGAGACCAGAAGGAGGCACCTGGCTCCTGGCTTCGGATTGGTGCAGCACACTGGCCATAGTGGCCATTTTTGGGGGTGAACCAACGGAAGGAAGACCTTTCTCTCTGTCTCTCTCTCTCTCTCACTGTCTAACTCTGCCTGTCAAAAAAAAAAAAAAAAAAAAAAAAAAAAAAAGCTTAAATTTGAGTCAGAAATAAGCAGTTTAGGGACCAGTATTGTGGTGCAGCTGGTTAAGCTGCCGCCTGCAACACCAGCATCCCCTGTGAGCTCTGATTTGAGCCCCGGCTGCTCCACTTCTGAGCCAGTTCACTTGGGAAAGCAGCAGAAGATGGCCCCCTGCTTGGGCTCCTGCCATCCACATGGGAGACTCGGATGGAGTTCCAAACTCCTGCTTGGCCTGGCGTAGCAATCACTGCAACCATTTGGGGAGTGAACCGCAGATGGAATATCTCTCTCTCCCTCTCTTCCTCCCTCCCTCTCTCTCTTTCCTGCTCTCTGTAACTCTGCCTTTCAAATAAATAAATAAATCTTTAAAAAATTAATGAAAAAGAAGTAAGCATTTCTCTAAACTTTTTTAAGGTAAATCCAGGATAAATAAATGTGTGAAATGTTTTGAGGATGGGGATATAGGGAATACGGCATTTGTGTAGTGTAACATTACAGGTTTGATTTGTACAGAATGAAAGAGAAGACCCTCTAAACGGGGTCCAGATCTCCATGGCTTTTTGTCTGTATTTTTATATGTGAGGGAGATCCATTTAAAACTTAGAGATTATTCCCAAGGCACAGATATACTCCCAATTGGTGGTTATTCTCATGAAAGTAGAGGGTTAATGGTAGCACTAAACAGTATTAAATACAGAAGTCCCTAATGGAGATATTAGGATAATAATAGTGATGCAGTAATGTAATGTCCCCACATGCTTGCATCCGTGATCAGTTGCCCTTCTGTTTGAAAATAGGAGCACCAGGAGGACTGGACCCAGATGGGCAGGAAGGCAGCTTCAGAGGTTGAGGCCCAGCAGCAGTAGCTCTGCCCCATTTCCCAGGAGCGGAAGCTAAGTCACAGCCCGGTGCCGTGATGACGGTGACAGCACTGAAACCTTGCTTAATCCTTTACAGGTTTTGTTTTTAATTTCTATTGATCAAAAACAGAGCTCCCATAACACCAGTTCCCCCCTCCAAATGCCCACGATGACTATGGCTAGGCCAGGGAAAAGCCAGAAACTCAATGCAAGTCTCCTACATGGTCGGCAGGAACTCAGCTCCTAGAGCCATCACCGCTGCTCCCCAGAGTCAGCATTAGCAGGAAGCTGGAATCGGAAGGTGAAGACAGCAGTCAAACCCAGGCCTCCGATATGGGACACAGGCATTCTTATCTGGTGTCTTAACTGCTAGGGCCAATGCCCCCCCACACACACTTTATATGTGCTTTCGTGGACATCACTTTATCCTCACCACACACACGCTGTGTGACTTTCCAGATAAGGAAGCTGAGGTCTAGAGAAAATGAAAGTGTCTTGCCCAAAGTCACACAGCTGGTGAGAGGAGGCGCCTGGCTTCCATTATGTGAATGAAGACATTATCTCCCTATTCTCGGGCTTTGTATCCCTGCTTTTATTTCATAATGTATCACCACGACTTACATGCAAAATTAATGGAGAATCCTCAGCAGTGTCATTACTTTTCCATTGTTTTTAAGTTACCAGATTTTTCTTTTTAACAGGGACTATCAAAGCAAAAGAAAAGTATTTTGTCAGAAAATCCCTATTGGAGTAAATGAAACCATAGTCATCACTAAGAGATGTAGCAAATCGGGTACTTCCCTAAGCGCGAAGAAGACAAGCAGCTGTTGCAGCCTCTAAACACAAGCGCAGCAAGCCTGCAAAATGGGGTTACCCTGGGCACGAAGCCCTAGCTAAGTAGGCCACTGGTGCTGTGCTGTCTCTGTGTCTTCTCAGCCTTTGATATTTATCAGCTTCCTGAAGGCGAAGCTGGTGGTTTTTTGGTTTCTCCTCCCCACGACAATTCCTCCTAATCTCTGTACTTCCTCATGTTTATATTATCACCTCCATTATCAAGGCTGCCCTTGGTGTTCACCTTTAACAAATTTTGCCTGGGTAAAACTGTGCAAAGAAAAGCAAGGCAATAGTCTCTGTTATAATTTGTAACAGGCCCCCATGCCTTTTCTTAATCCCTACAGCATTCTCTCCCAGCTATGTAACATCTTTAAATAATATAAAAGAAGATGAGAGAACAAAGAATTTGCTTGCGGTGTGACTCTTTGGCCTACGTAATTGGGTACTTTCGCACTTAAGCAGATAAATGGCCAGCCCTCCCTGTGGTAAAGGAGCTCTCCCAGCAACAGCACTCCTTTGCACACTCCTCATCGTGTAGACAGAAATGTTGCTAGTAAGAAATTATGGGGCCAGCGCCGTGGCTCACTTGGTTAACCCTCTGCCTGCGGCTCCGGCATCCCATATTGGCACCGGATTCTAGTCCTGGTTGTTCCTCTTCCAGTCCAGCTCCCTGCTGTGGCCCAAGAAGGCAGTGGAGGACAGGCCAGGTGCTTGGGCCCCTGTACCCACATAGGAGACCAGGAGGAGGCACCTGGCTCCTGGCTTCAGATCGTCACAGCACCGGCCGTATTGGCCATTTGGGGAGTGAACCAACAGAAGGAGGACCTTTCTCTCTGTCTCTCTCTCTCTCACTCACTGTCTATAACTCTACCTGTCAAAAAAAATTATTACATGTTATTTGAGATTATTACCTGATCAGCATTTTGGCCAGACATGGGGGAGAGGTGTTCTTTGAGGACAGAATGTCTCATATATGGCATTGAAATCGGGGGTCAGCACACTAAAGCCCATGGGGCCAATGCTGCCTACTGCCTATTTTTGTAAATAAGATTTTATTGGAAAACAAGCACACTCATTGGCGTACAGATTGTCTTTGGCTGCTTTCATACTACAATGGCAGAACTGAATAATTGCATAAGAGACCATACGGCACAAAAACCCAAAATATTCACTCTGGCCCTTTACAAAAAAAGTTTTCCAACGCCTGCTCTAGACAGTCCAAAAGCAAGGCACTCTCATCTTCACTCGTTGGGCTTCTCTCGGTTCCTTTCTCTTAAATATCCAGAAAGATCCACTTTTCTGCAGAGCAGAACACACCAGGAGTGGCTGAGATCCGGACGGGGACAGCGCTTTCCTGTAGGACAGAGAAGCAGAAGTACGCGTTAGAGGGGCCAAGCCTCGAGGTCTGCAGAAGCCACACAGGCGATGGCAGCTGCAGGAGGCCAGGTGGGGGCCATGATGAACGAGGGAGCCTGTGCCATCCTTGGGGCAGTCTCCTCTCAGTTCCAACTGGGTGACCTCGCAGGAACGTGGACCCAGTGTTACCAGAACCCCAGATTTTCAAGTTCCTCTCGAAACCCGTGTGTTTTATGTTGTTGCCTAATATTTAAATATTGACAGCTGGATAAACTTAAGAATAAAATAAAAGAGCATTCACACACGCACCTGCTCGCGGCTGTTCATGCTCCCCTTGGGCATAATTGCTAAAACTTGGAAGCCACCAAGACGCTCTTCCTTAGGTGAGTGGATGGATACACTGTGCTACATCCAGACAATGGAATATTATTCTGCACTAAAAAGAAAGGAGCTACCAAGGCACAAAAAGACATGAAGAATGTTGGGAGCATTTTGCTACAAGCTGTCTGATTCCAGCTCTGTGACATTCTGCAAAGTCAAAACTATGGACACCGTGAAAAGTGAGGGGTTAGGGAGAGAGAGGGATGAATAGGTGAAATGCGGGATGTTTAGGGCAGTGAAACTCTTCTGTAGGATACGAGGATGGTAAATACATGACCATACATGTCATACATGTGTCAGAATGTGTGGTACCAAGAGTGAACTGTAATGTAAACTATGGAAATTGGGTAATGTTGTGTTCATGTAGGTTCACTGATTGTTAAAATATACCACCCTGTGTGGGATGTTGATAGGGGAGGAGGCTCCGGGTAGGGTATAAGAGGTATAGGGCGGCCGGTGCCGCGGCTCACTAGGCTAATCCTCCGCCTTGCGGCACTGGCACACCAGGTTCTAGTCCCGGTTGGGGCGCCGGATTCTGTCCCTGTTGCCCCTCTTCCAGGCCAGCTCTCTGCTGTGGCCAGGGAGTGCAGTGGAGGATGGCCCAAGTACTTGGGCCCTGCACCCCCTGGGAGACCAGGAGAAGTACTTGGCTCCTGCCATCGGATCAGCGCAGTGCGCCGGCCGCGGCGGCCATTGGAGGGTGAACCAACGGCAAAGGAAGACCTTTCTCTCTGTCTCTCTCTCTCACTGTCCACTCTGCCTGTCAAAAACATTTTTAAAAAAATTAAGTGTTTTTTTTTTTTTTTAAGCAGTAAACAGAATATATCCAGGGTTCAGATTGGATTCTCAGCCTGTCAGTGTACAGTCTCTGCCGGAGGCTGAACTGCAGAGTTCAGGCTGAAGTCCAGCCATGGTGGCAGTGTGACCAGTGGTTAGTGTCAGAGAGGTATGACAGAAGGCACAGGGGTCGTCCTGACTGGGACAGTGGTCACAGCACCAGAGAGGCCTGGAATGGGTGGCAGGAGGGCCAGGTGCTCATGCCAGCAGTTGGTATCGAAAGCCTGGCCATCATGGCCTTCTAGACTTCAGACACAGACCTGAAGTCCCAGCAGCTAAGGATGGCTGGTCAGGCTGTTCTCAGAGAACTATGGGAATAACTAAATCTTTAGGATACACACAATTCTGCCAAAAATAGAGAATGATCCAGTGACCAGCATGGACCACAAAGCAAGAACTTGGATCCAGCCAGAAACACAACTACATGAATTATGGTTCAGGATTAGACCAGGCTGATCAGCTTTTGAGGCTAACCAGGACATATTTGGGTAACATGCCATAGATATCCAATTCAAAATAGCTAAGAAAAAAAAAAAAACAAAACACAAGAATGTTTTGGTTCCTGTAACTGTGAAACCATTGGTAGAGCTGACTGCAGGCAGCTCAGGAGTGCATGAGGTTATCAAGAGTCTACGTGTGTCTCTGTCACTCTCCTGCTTTATGTTTCTTTGTTTTTATTCAGGCTGTTTATACAGGGTGATCCCCGTGGGACCTTCTCTTACAAGTAGCAGTCTCACTGGGACAAAGGCCTGTTTCCCCCAGTTATCTCAATAAAATTCCCGGATTGAATCTTACAGGGTTGATTTGGGTCACATACCCATTTGTGAACCCATCACTGTGACCGAGGTGGTGGAACATGCTTTTACATCAGGCCTAGGCTCCCTAGCCAGCCCAGTCATGTTGTCTGTGCATGGAAAGGAATGGGTGTCTGAAGGAAAACCTGCAGTACCACTGGCAGAACGGATGCTAGGATGCAAACGCAACAGAATCCCACCATACTAAGTTACTCAAGTTAGCAAGGTCTTTGAAAATTCCCTCCTCTTTGCCCCCATGCAAAAGTCAAGGGGAAAGGTCAGAAGATTCTAGAACACTGGACAAATCATTACAGAAGTGCCCCATTTATAAGTGAAGTACCAACAGCTGAGACTTGTTATAAGCTAGTTCTCATTGGAAATTGTCACATGAAGCAGTCACATTGAAGCTATGGAACTCATGGCAGTCATTAAATGCTTCACATTTTAGTAGGATTTAAGGAAAACATTGATATATAACAATTCTTTGGGCTGAAGTCAAGTCTAACATCTTACATTAAGAAAATTAATTAGTTAATGTTTATAAAGTACTGTGCAGATATGCCCTTTTAAAATGCTAAGTATTCTAAAAACTACATTGTAGCATTTTAGTAAATGTAAAAGTTCTAATGTTCATCATTTCTTTGGTACAGGTTGGCAAAGATTCTTTTGGCAATGATTATATAGAAAACTTAAAACAGAATGGTATTTCTACAGGTAAAATTTCATCTTTTTTAAAGTTGGTGTTTATAACTTTCTTCTGTGATCTTGTTACAGGAAAAAAATGAGTATAGAATAGAATTATTAGATCATCCCCTGGTGGCCAGGGAATTTTTATGCACCGCTTTGTCTTGTCTTGCTTAAATGTCTTTTGGTTAATTCTTTCATGTACATTCCTCCAGATGGAAATAAAATGATAGGAGTTTATAAACCTTCATCTCATAGATATATGACAAGCGACAAAAGAAAACAGGTGCTGCCTTCACAAAAGATATTTTGAGAAAAGTCATTGAATGTTTTAGCATAGAAACCATCAAGGCTGAGAATATCGTCACAGAAGAGAACACGGAAGGCCAGAGAGGTTCTTCGACGTTTTTAACAGCACACAGCTCCTTGAAGCCAGAGCCAGGGCTAGAATGCAGGTCTTCTGCTTCCGGTGCAGGTTTCTTTGCTGCTGCCCAAGGCTGGCTGATCAACACTTTTTTTTACCTATGCCAGACCATGATTCTTGAAGACACACAAAGCTTATGGGAATGAAGAAAATCAAACAAGTTCATTTCATATGTTTGACCTTTTGTTGTTGTTTTTTTAATCTCAAGTCTGTCATTTCTTTCAGTGAAGAAAATAAATATGTTGGCCTCGAAAAATGCATATGTATACAACTATGAATAACTTAGGGAAACTGGTGGCTTGGGCTTTGTTACTAATGCAGAGAAAAGGTGTAACTAAATGTAAAGGCATTCTATTTTCTTCATTGTATAGGTGATGGGTATAAATTAGCACTACTTATTTTTTTTTATCATTCCAGATGGTTAAAGGTTAAAAAGTTTTTCCAAGGATTAGTGTTGCATTGGAATTGTTAAATTATCCATGCCAAGCTGCATGTACATGATTATAATTTTCTTTTTTTCTTTTAGAATTTACATACCAGACTAAAGATGCTGCTACAGGAACTGCTTCTATAATTGTCAATAATGAAGGTACGGGTTTCACATATTGGAGTATCATTTCATAAAACAGTTGATTTCCAGACTAGATCAGAAGCATCCATTTTTGTCCTAGTCCTGGGACCTCTTGGCACATCCAGCATTCCAACACCATGATTTAGCATGGTTTTTCCAATCCAAATTTAAATAAGTTTCCCTTTGTACTTCCCATGTTGACCATTCAAATATAAAATAGTCCGTGCAGCATTGTAGTCGCTTCCAAGTCTTATTTATATCCTGGATAAGTCCTTCATGTGAACTCTGAATTGACATTTGTATCTCAAAGCCATCAAACATTCATCTGTCATTTCTATTACACAAGGTAAATAAATGTAAATAGGTGCAAAAGAATGTTGGATGAATCCTATTTATAGAATATTTACTGTGCATATGGCAGCTACTAATTGCTTAGAATTTATCCCTAGTGTTCAGTTTTGTCAGCTCTTTAAACAGCAATCAGATCTCAAAAGTCTATACATATAGCTAAGTCTACCACCAAGCTTTGCCGTAATTGAAACATTTACCTTTAAAAACAATAACAACCGTCAAGTTTTCATAATTTCTGCCAAATCTTTAAGTATGAAAACACCTACATAGGATTTGTTAAATCAGAATTAATATTCAGAAGGAGTAACCCCTTCTGGAGGTACCTAGGACAGAACCTTGGCACTGTGTGCATGGTGTTAAATGAGGATTTATCACAACATATCTTTTATTTATACAGTAATTCCCCCTTATCCTCAGGGGATATGTTCCAAAACCCCCCAAAACTATCTGAAACCACAGATAGTATGGAACTCTATCCTATGTTTTTTCTTATATATGCATACCTATGATGAAGTTTAATTTATAATTTAGGCACAGTATGAGATTAACAACAATAAGAATACAATAGAGCAATTATAACAACATACTATATAAAAGTTATGTTGATATAGCGTCTCTCTTGTTCTCTCTGTCTCTCAGTATCCTGTACTGTACTCACCCTTCTGCTCACACTGTGAGATGATACAGGACCTACATAGTGAGATGAAGTGAGGTGAACCACAGAGGCACTGCGACATAGCGTTAGATTACTACATAACGGTTACATGAGCACAAGCACTGCATTATCCCAACAGTCAATCTGGTAAAGCCAAGACAACCAAATGACTAATGGGTGGGTAAGCATTGGGTCTACAGTGTGGATATGGTTGGACAAAGGGATGATTCATGTTCTGGGTTAGATGAACCAGGATGGTGCAAGATTTCATCATGCCACTCAGAATGTGCATAATTTAAAACTTATGCATTATTTCTGGAATTTTCCATGTAATGTTTTTGGAGCACAGTTGACCACAGGTGGCTAAAACCACAGGAAGCAAATCCATGGATGATGGGTGACTACTATAATGAAATTTTGTAAGTTCATTTCACATAAAAGATATGGTATTTTTATCTAGACTTTAATGATTCTAAAGTTGCAATGATTAAAAAAAAAGTTCCACTTAAAAGCAGTAGATAAATGTTTTCATTCTAACAATAGAAAGTCTGTGTTCATTACGTTAAGCTATATTCTAAGTAATTATTGCTGTCAACAGTAGCTCACTCTTTGTCTTAATCCTCTTATTTTATTCCAGAGATATCTTCAAGTTCTCTTTCTTCCTTATCTGTGAGACAAAATCTGCATTTTCCATTCAAGGATTAATTTAACATTATGTGTTTAGTGTGTATTGTGGCAGACTCTGCCTGAGTTGTAACGAATGGTAATGGCCTTCAGAATATGGCTTGTGGCAGAAGCGCTGAGGCAGACACAGAGAGGAGGCAGTCAGCTCCCTGACATGAAGGAGTAATGCAGGAGTGAGTGTGCAAGGCAGAATAATGAGCTCTGACGAGTCACGTCTGCAGCATGAATGACCCCGCCGTGTGACATTGGCCACCAGACGTCCGTAGTCCCCGGCTTCTTGCTCAGCCTCCAAGGCCAGGCCAGCAAGGCAGATTTGGATGTCAGCCACAGAGACGCTACGGTTGACTCCAACGAGAGAGTGAGGTCACTGAGGGAGAAAAAGAAGGCAATGCCGTCCTTCAGTGCGTGGGTACTTTGAATTTTTCCAGGCCTGGGTTGGGTTTCTGTTGAACTATCCCTACTTACGAAGTCCTCCTCATGGCCAACAAACACGTCTGTGGCTAGAATTTGTTTGGTGTTCAGAGGTAGTTTCAGGAGATGTCTATACAGGATCAGCACAAGCAGCTTGGGGCATAAAAATGTCTGCCGTAACTCATTCCTCTGGATCAGTGCTGTCCAGTGGAAATAAAACGCAGAATTCTAAAATTGTCCAGGAACCACATTTTAAAAATACAAAGAAACGGGTAAATGCTATTTTCACAATGTATTTCGTTCAGTATATCCAAAATATTACTTCAACTTGTAATAAAAAATTTACTTATGTTTTTTTAAAATTGAGAGATATTTAACATTTTTCTTTGTCCTATCTTTGAATCCACTGGCATTTTATTTTTTAATTTTTACAGGTTTATTATTTTTTTTGAAAAGCAGAGAGGGAGAGAAAGGACAGGGGGAGAGAGAGAGAGAAAGAGGTCTTCCATCTGCTGGTTCACTCCCCAAAGGGCCACAATAGCCAGGGCTGGGCCAGGCCAACGCCAAGAGCCAAGAGCTTCTTCTAGGTCTCCAATGTGGGTGGCAGGAGCCCAGAAACTTGGGCCGTCTTCCACTGACTTCCCAGGTGCATTAGCAGGGAACTGGATTGGAAGTGGAGCATCTGGGACCAGAACCAGCACCCATATGAGATGCCAGCACTGCAGGTGGCAGCTTTACCTGCTGTGCCACAGCTCTGGCCCCTCCCCTGGCGTTTTATACTCCAAAGCACATCTCAGTTTGGACAAGCCATGTTTCTTTTTTTTTTTTTTTTTTTTGACAGGCAGAGTGGACAGTGAGAGAGAGACAGAGAGAGAAAGGTCTTCCTTTGCCGTTGGTTCACCCTCCAATGGCCGCCGCTGCAGCCGGCGCACCGCGCTGATCCTGGCAGGAGCCAGGAGCCAGGTGCTTTTCCTGGTCTCCCATGGGGTGCAGGGCCCAAGCACCTGGGCCATCCTCCACTGCACTCCCTGGCCACAGCAGAGAGCTGGCCTGGAAGAGGGGCGACCGGGACAGAATCCGGCGCCCCAACCGGGACTAGAACCCGGTGTGCCGGCGCCGCAAGGTGGAGGATTAGCCTATTGAGCCACGGCGCCGGCTCGGACAAGCCATGTTTCAAGTGTTCAGCAGCCATATATGGCTTCTGCCCATGGCAAACATATTGAGCAGCACAGTTCTTTTCTTTTCTTTTCTTTCTTTTTTTTTTCTTTTTAATATTCTGTTTACTTGAGAGGTAGAGTTAAAGACAGAGAGGAGAGACAGAGAGAAAGGTCTTCCACCTGCTGGTTCACTCCCCAGATGGCTGCAACAGCCAGAGCTGAGCCAGTCCAAAGCCAGGAAACAGAAGCTTCCTCTGCATCTCCAGACACGGGCACAGAGGCCCAAGCACCTGGACCACCGTCCACTGCTCTCCCAGGCCATAGCAGAGAGCTGGATAGGAAATGGAGCAGCCGGGACTTGCACCAGTGCCCACATAATATTCTGGCTTCACAGAAGGAGGCCCAGCCCACTACACCACAGCACCAGCCCCAGAGCAGCACAGTTCTTGAGAGTTCACTTGTCATAGGGCAGGCATTTAGCACAGTGCTTGACATGCCACTTGGAATGCCTACATCCCATATCAAACTGTCTGGGTCCAAGTTCCAGACTCTGCTCCCAACTCCTGCTAATTTATACCCCAGGAGGCAGCAGCTGATAGCACAAATAGTTGGGTTGCTGCCACCCATGTGGAAGAGCACAACTGAATTCCTGGCTCTTGCTGGTGGGACTTAGCCATGCTACTGGGGGCATTTGGGGAATGAACCAGCAGATGGGGACAGGGAAAACTCTCTCTTTCTCTCTCCCTGTTTCCCCCTCTTCCCTCCCCCTTTCAGATTAACAAAAATAAATATTAAAGTTTTTAGCAAAAGTAGCAGATAGAACATGCCTCTCCCCCAGGTAGGTGGGATTGTAGAGCGTGGGTCCATGTGATGAGAATATATCAGATTCCTTCGTCCTGTTTCTCTCTGTTTGATCCAGTACAGGATAGGCCACACATCCCTCTCTGTCTGATACAATTTTCCATCTGTTACATATTATAAAATGTATTTTAATTGACAGAATCACTTTTAGAAAACCATAGGGTATACTCATGAACTGCTTGCAAACGACAGAGCATTAGTTTTGAGCATCCTACAAATGCACTCCTATTTATACTCATCTACAAGGCATCTGTCGTTTAGAATTCAGAATCTGTACCATGTACACAGTACCTATTCCCTGTAAAAGAAAATTTTAAAGTGTACTGTGTATCGTTGCTGAACTAATATTCTCTGTGTATAACAATACTGATAGGAGAAACCTTTTATGATATCGCTCATAATGATCCCAAAAATATAAATCTTACAAAGATATTGAAAAAGGTGTATTTGGAACACAAAATCTAACCTGAATGGCCTAGAAATATTAAAATCCAAAATACTCATTTTGTATAGTGACTTTATAAGAATGATTATAACATTACAAAATATCATTCCTTGGCTTTGTATGGCTTTAATAAAAATATGCAGAATTTCTTTATAGGCCAGAATATCATCGTCATAGTGGCTGGAGCAAATTTACTTTTGAATACTGAAGACCTGAGGGAAGCAGCCAATGTCATTAGCAGAGCCAAAGTGATGATCTGCCAGCTAGAAATAACTCCAGCTACTTCTTTGGAAGCCCTGACAATGGCCCGCAGCAGTGGCGGTAATTTTACATATTTGTCATTCTTTCCGTAAAAGCTTTTATCGCTGTCTTAATTAAAGTTAACCTTTTAAGTTAAGCAAAGCAATACTTTTTCTGTGGTAAAATATTCTTTCCTCCATCTGTGAGATTCTCTGTCTTCTTGTAGTTCTTGATAATGTTAGAAAAACTTACAAATAGAGTAAAAATAACTCAAGTAGCATTTCCGACATCCTTCAATATTAATCTCCAGTCTACTTAGCAGAGATTATACCGGTGGTAATTCGACTCTCTACAGCAGCCCGCGGTCCATGAATCCCTCTTGGGGGTAGCAGAGTGTGCACCGTGAAAGGCAGCGGTCCAGCTGCATGTCCCGTGTAATCCCTGACCACTTCCTTTTGGTAAATGAGTCTGAGAAATTAGTTCTTTCTCCTTTTTGTAAAACTTGACCATCTTTTCAATGAACAAGCGATTACTGATGTGTCATATGTTCTATGTTGTCTGTGTCCATTGAACAGCTCTTCTGTTTGACCTTTGATTTTGGAAATTTTCAAACCGACAAAAGCAAACAGGGTTGTATAATGAAAGCCATCACCCACTTCAACAATTGTTCAACCCAAGGCTAATCTTGATGCATCTGTTCTCCCGCCCACGCCCCATCTCGCACTCCTACCAAGTTACAGATAAACAGATTTTTAAAATCCAGAGAGTTTCTATTTGCTTCTTTTTCACCATTGACTAGTCGGGAAAGCATCTGCTGAGCAGGAATCCCATTCCTGTCCCTTGGTAGTGTGGTAGGCTTAGCATAAGCATCTGATTTCTCTGCACTTTGTCTGCAAAATTCAGACGCAGAGAATTGTTTTAAGAATGGAATAATGATGCCACGCATGATATAGCACACTTCAGAAAATCCTAATTTTCTTCCCTCTCATCCACTTCTCTCTAAATTAAAATCAGAATAATATCCTGATCTAGCACCGTTTGGTCACAAAAATGAAAATAAAATAGCCACTCTTGAGACAATGGCTTCTTTTTGATAGTGTGGCAGTAGCTTTGTGAATTATGTGAGGAAGAGAATAGAGAGAACCACATTGACTTTTCCAGATAAAACTTTCTATCAAGATACAAAACTGAAAAAGAAGAAAAGGAACTGTGGGGGGTGTGTGTTTACAGAAGGGACTTCTCCCAACACGCATAGCTTTCTCCATAGCCATAAATGCAGTATAAGTCGCTGAAATGATTTCATGGAGAATTTTAAAATGTATGTCCTGATTTCACAAATTTCCCTCTTGGCAAAACAACATGCTATGGCAAATTCTCACTGACATTTAATGTATTTTTAATGGACTCGAAGCTGTCAGAAAGAATTGTAAGCCAAACCCCATTCGGTTCCATTTTCTCAGAGTGTCACAGAGAGTCTGATGCCTGTAGTAAGCAGTGTCTGCACCACGCTCATCTCAGCCAGGTGACGTGAATGCAGTGTGCCGCTCCGCTCCCGCTCCTTTGTACGGATCAAAGCACATTCTCATGTCACTTCTGTTTTTCGCCGCTGTCCCTTGCTTCTCAGGAATCACTGCTGCCTCTGTCTTAGTCTAGTTTCCTGTTCCCTGCCCACCTGGTGGAGGAGAGAAAGGTTCAGCAACCACAGCTGAGGAGCTACCCGTCCACAGGTGTGGCTGGAGGAATCCGGAGAGGCGGGCAGCCGGCCTCTGCTGTCTTTTGGGAGGGGTCTGGAAACACTTCCTCCATCAACTGCTGCACAGCTCTTCCCGCTGAACTTGGGGTCCTCCTGGAAGGGAGTGATGGGGCCACGGGTCCATTCTTCTCCTTGACACTGCTACTAAGAGCCAGTGTGCCTAAGTATTAATTCTGCAGGATTTTCTTGTATGGTAATATTATGAGTAGTAATGCCTTGCATTTATATGTACTTTACAGCTTATAGAAAGTATTTCCTGTCCATTTCATCCTCAGAAAAGTCTTGTGACAAAGATGTAGCAGGCATTGTTGTCTCAGATTGAAGGTCAGGAGACAGAGACTCAGAGAGCTGTTAACTAATTTGCTCAGCCAACATCGCACTTTGAGGAAGTGTGGAAGCCAGGATTTCAGACTCCAGGACCCACATTCTGTCTCCCAGACCACACTTTAAAAAAAGAAGTGTCTCTAGAAAAGTAAAACCCATCCACTTTAACCCTGTCCAACATGCAGCCCACGCTTTGAGAGTTTTCAGTGCTTGAAGAAAAAGAGGGTCTGGAATATTTTCAGTGATGTTACCTACACACACACGTGTGCACACTCACGCACACACACATCTCTCTGTCCAGAACCCCTAGAGCCAGGCAGCTTTCTCTGTTCAAGTCAACTGGTCCTTATCTTGTTGGTACTGGGCAGACATAGCTTAGGTTCCATACCACAATCAGCGTGTGTGTGTGAGTGTGTTTGCATGTGTGTGTGTGCTCACAACATCTTCATTCTCGTGTGAGAGAAGAGTGATGATGGAAGGAAAGGATAGCTCCGGTTTGGGAATCATGAGGTCTGGCGTTGAATCCAGAATCAATCACTTACCTTGGTCAAGTCCGTCAGTTCCTTGCTATGGGCTCCATTTCTTCTGTAAAGCAGGAGAACTGGCCCAAGAGCTCTCACGTGCCTCTTATGTCACCATGGACTGATCACAAAGCAGGGAGACCAAGGTAAATGATTTGCTGAGTGCTGAGTGCCTTACCTTGTGCCCACAAGGTGGCCTGGTGCCGACCAGAATTATGCCACCTCTGGGAGAAATGGTAAAGCCCTCTGCATGCTCACTGCCTGCAGGCTTATGACCCGGATCCCTTACCTTTATGGCTCATAAGAAGTGAAACTTGAATTAACTAGGTTACGTTATCAGTTATTAAAATACAGAGGAAAAGATCTTCCATCTTTGAATATACTATCTTGAAACTCTCTCTTCCTTTCTTTACCAAAGTGAAAGTATTGGAATTCAAACTTTTTTTTTTTTTTAAGGTAGAATTATAGACAGTGAGAGAGAGACAGAGAGAAAGGTCTTCCTTCCGTTGGTTCACTCCCAAATGGCCGCTACAGCTGGAGCTGCGCCGATCCAAAGCCAGGAGTCAGGAGCTTCTTCCTGTCTCCCATGGGGTGCAGGGCCCAAGCACTTGGGCCATCCTCCATTGCCCTCCCAGGCCATAGCAGAGAGCTGGACTGGAAGAGGAGCAACCGGGACTAGAACCGGCGCCCATATGGGATGCCGGCACCGCAGGCAGAGGATTTAAGAGAGCAAGCAGCTACAGTGTCAGAAACCCAGTAGCCCTGCATAGCCCTTATCCCCCGTAGGTCCCAGTACTGCGAACGAGGGCCCCTGCAGAGCTGAGGCTGCAGCTGATGGAATTCTGCATGTTGGTTCTGGTCTTTACATCCATTTCAAAGCAAATGGAACATTACAGGCACAGTTATAATCATGGAGATCGTAAGATTGCCAAGACCAAATTCTAGGTATGATACAAAGGATCTTTCAGTGCCACTTCAGTCCCCTTCCACTTGGCAGATAACTCTTGGCTGGCCACCTGGACTCTCACAATAGCAGCGTCCAGCATGGAGACCAAGCTTCGGGTGCATTTGTGGCTCCTGTCACAGAAAACAGCCCCGAGAGCATGGAATGCCCATGCTGGTGCTCTGAGTTTGGGGCATCCCAGTCTTCTCATGGTTCCTTTGCTCAGGGTGATTGTCTTCCTCTGTTTCTCCCAGCTGGTCATTAGGACCTTTTGCATTTCACCTCAACACCAGTGGGAGCTTCTGGCTGTCCTGGGCCTATCCAGCTGTTCCCCCAGGCCTCCCCAGGCCCTCAATGCCATGAATGTGCCAGCACTTGACATGCAGTCAAGGTAACCAGGAGTTCAGTCCATCCTACTTTGTAACTAATAATAGTCTATGTTGAGTATGTTCAGTCCCCTCTGCAACTCCAAGTTACTCCATGGACATTGCCTGTTCTCTAGTTTTCCCTGGTCCCAGGATGACATCTTTTTTTTCCATCTTGTCTGTTACAGATTTCCATACTAGTTTGATTAACTGCACCTCCTAAGTCTTCATGTTTCTTTCATCACTGTAAAGTATTTATCCTTATTTGGAATAGCACAAGCCAAGATGAATCCTTTCTTTATGGCATTTTTCACTCTTTCCCCAAATTTAGTTACTAGTCTACACCTATGTGCCCCATTGCTGTTGATGCAAATGCCATCCCTAGGGCCAATGTCATAGCACAGTTAAGCTACCACCTGCGATGCTGGCCCCACTTAGGGGCACAGGTTCATGTTCTGTACTCCACTTCCAATCCAGCTCCCTGCTAATGCACCTGGGAAAGCAGCAGAAGATGGCCTGAGTATCTGGTCCCTGCTACTCACATAGGAAACCCAGATGAAGCTACAGGCTCCTAGCTTCAGCCAGGCCCAGCCCTGGCTGGTAATGGCCATCTGGTGAGTGAACAGGCAGATGGAATATTGCTTTCTCCTTCTTTCTCTCCCTCTCTCTCTCTCTCTCTGACTTTCAAATAAATAAATAAATTTTTAAAAAATAAAAAGAATGCTATCCCTCAGTAAAATACAGGCCAATCAGATTTGATTGGTTTTATACAAAATGATAGAATTAAATTGTAGAACTCCTCATTCCAACACTTGATATTTAAAATTCAGTGTAATTGCTGATTTATTTAAAATTTATTTTTATTATGTGACAGGTGTATAGATTAACAGTTAAAATACCAGCTATGGCACCTCTGTGCCCTATCAGAGTGCCTAGATTCAATGCCTGGCTCTGACTTCTTATTCCAGCTTCGTGCTACTGCAGAGTGGGAGGGGCAGTGATGACACAGGTAGTTGGATTCCTGTGAACCACATGAGAGACCTGGATTGAGTTCTGGCCACCAGCTTTTGGCCCAGTCCCAGCTGATACAGACATTTGGGGAGTAAACCAATAGATAGGAGCTTGCTCTTTCTCTGTCTCCCTCTTTCCCACTCACTCACTCACTTTCTCTCTGT